TAAAAATACAAAAATTAGCTGGGCGTGGTGGTGGGCGCTTGTAATCCCAGCTACTGGGGAGGCTGAGGGAGGAGAATTGCTTGAACCTGGGAGGCAGAGGTTGCAGTGAGCCGAGATCGTGCCACTGCACTCTAGTCTGGGTGACAGAGCATGACTCCGTCTCCAAAAAAAAAAAACTATTTAAAAAATTAGCCAGGTGTGGTGGCATGCAACTGTAGTCCCCGCTACTCAGAAGGCTGAAGTGGGAGGATGGTTTGAGTCCAGGAAGTTGAGGTTATGGTGAGCTATGATCACATCACTGCACTCTCACCTGCGTAACGGAACAGGACTGTGTCTTTCTGACAAAAGAAGAACAAGAAGAAATGAAGATATTTGAATTGAGTCTTGAAGAATGGGTACGAATTAGGTAGTATGATAAGCTTGCTGGAAAAGTAAAAGAAGGTGGCTTGTGAAGAAGGTGGCAGTGTTTAGAGAAGGGTTAAAAGCCCGGTGTGATTGGAGGGGTGTAGTAGATCCAAGGAGGGGAAGGAAAAGAGGTTGAGGATGACAGGAAATGGAGTCAGACTTGGGCCAGAATGTATGCCATGTTATGGAGTCGGACTTGATAGACAGTCAGACAGAAAGTTGACCCCCTGACAGCTGTAGTAAACCTTGCTGAGGAAGTCTTCACTTAGTTTAGTTTAGGAATTTTTTTAGTGACAAAGTGAAATCGCATTGGATTTCCTAAGTGTGAACACAGAGCTTCTAGGTGAATCATGTTCAGGAAAATAAAGGATTAGAGTAATGGAATTATTTGTGGGTGTTAGAGATGGGAAATTCAAACTTTCCTGAGTCATGTATGGCTTATGAGATGGATTAATGGCTCAATCTTTTTTTTTTTTTTTTTTTTAAAGCTGGCATCTCGCTCTGTCACCCAGGCTGGAGTTCAGTGGCGCGATCTAGGCTCACTGCAATCTCTTTTTTTTTTTTTTTTTAAAGCTGCATAACAGAAGGCTATTCTTACGAATGATTTTTCATCAGTTAATACACCCGTGATGGCTGGTAAAGATTTTGCCACTGAGCTTGAGACTAGACTTACAGAGTTTTAACTTCTCTGTAAAGGCCTCAGAGTCCATGAATGTAAAATATTTCCCTCTCCTTTAAAAGGTGTGTATATATTAGATAAAAATATTAGATAAAAGTGACTCAAATTCTAGTGTTAATGGTAATAGCCTGCTTTTTTTATTTTTTTTACCAAGTATAATTGACTCGTGTGAGGCACATTAAAAATATGAGATCATTATATAATTCTCAGTATAGATGCCAGCAATTTTCTGCTTCACTTTTAATACCCTTTATACTTATGAGGTAACCCTTCTGTGTTTGAACATGTGTTTCAGAAGCAGGGGGTATTAGTTTTTAGTCATGAGGCACATTACTCCTTATCGCCCCACCTGCACCACACCCACCCACACACAGGC